GGAAAAACATGGATGCTACCAGGTTGCATGTATTTTCAGATTCTTTTTTTTCCTTTCACTGTTGTTATTTCACAAAAAATTGCAGTGATGATGGCAAAATATGGCAATGTACTGTATGTGTAAGCATCACTATATATTTCATAATAGTATATTTTAGGGAACAGAATAGAAGGAATAGAAGAATGTTTTGGTAGGATCTTAGAAAATCACTTAAACTGAAAAAATACTTAGTATTTTTGGCAGAAGTTGAAGCTGTCAGACTTGATATACCACACACAGCTCTCCTGAAAGTCAAGCCCACAACAACCAATTATCAAGAGAAGTTTCACACACTAGACTTGGCTAGATTGTTTTACTGCAGATGAGAAAGAACTCACATATGCAGAAGTTCTGCCTCTATGTATGTCTGAGCCCCAGGGTTTGAATTCTAGGTCTTTTCCTGCTCCTTTTCTTTTCCCCAGCTTCAAAAGTCAGAGACATCTGTTCTGTCTGGGTTGAGAATCATCGGTTGGTTCCTTCCTTACCAGCCTCAGTCCTTATTCAAGTGTTCAATTACTGACCTTTACTTAGACATATACAGTGGGGAGTGGGGGAGAGAAGAATAGAAATATCATGAGTCTTTTTGAAACTCTTTTGACCATCTCTAAAAATTTTACCTGAAGAACTTTCAGTTTTCAGTTTTTCGAACTTTCTTATTTAGGCAAAATCAAGGAACTGCCAAAGAACGTACTGGTGCCAATGTAGGCATTTATATTCAAAAGCTATATGGGCTCTTCGAGAACTTATTTTTGTTGGTTGTACTCAAACCCATCCAATGCATTTCAGATGTCACTGTAGCTGGACCTTTGGTGGCAGCTTGATATCTTGTCTTGCCTAGTCAGTGAGAAGGGTCTCAACCCATTCACTGCACATTTTTCTTACAAATGGCTTGTACCACAGATAAAGCACTTAGTAAGGCACCCTCTCCTCTAGTTTCATCTGTACTTATTAAGCGACTCAGATGGGACTGAAGAGTATAGAGAAGGCACGTGTTACCTCCTGCTCCTTTCTGCTTCTTTTCTCCTAAATCTATCTATCTTAATAAAGCAGCTTGTCTATATGGTTTACAAATGGTTTAAAAGGCTACCCTAGTTTTCCTCGGGCATAAAGAGACGCAAACCAAAGTCCACTCTCTCTTATTCTACTTTGTCAAGAAGCAAATGTTTACCACTGACTCAGATGGCAACTAGAATGTTATACTTGACTGAAGTCCCAATCTGTTCTTTTGCTGAGGGGGCCCCTGGGATTTCTAATGGGACATGGAACACTTCCCTTTTGGTGCACTGACTGAATGCAAGGCAGTTTAGCTGAGAGTGAAAGTCATTACGGCCAGTTTATAGCTGTGTGGTGGCCTAGATTAAATGAGTTTGAAAGTACAGACATATGGAAGCCATGTACCCCTGACATACACATAACAAACCTTAGAAAATTACTAGCAGTCTCATCAGAGATCCTGAAAAGAAAAGAAAAGATCCCCAAACTCAAATATCTTTGGAGAACAAGCATTCCTCTGACCTGTTAAAGCCTTTTGATCCAAATGCATGCACGCTCATAAGTTAAAACACTTTGAATATGATCTGAATTCTTGTATTTGACTATTAAACCTATTATAAAATTAAAAGGATCTTTGAGTAGAAATTAAATCTCTTTCAAGTTTGGGGGCCTGAAAGCAGAAACACGAAATTCATCTATAAATAAAGTGCAATCCATTCTGATTTTGCTACGTTTTCCTTCCCTTCTCAGCCCAGACTATAGTTCACAGAGCATGAAGCCAAAATTAGGTATACTGGTCTTCAGCTGGTGTTACTCAATGATATATACTACTTTGTGAGTGCCACAGGGTTCGGTTCTCTCTCCCCTCCTGTTTAATATCTACATGAAGCTGCTGGGTGAGGTCATCTGACAGTTTGGGGTGAGGTATCCCCAGTATGCTGCTGATACTCAGCTTTATATCTCTACTCCCAGGCTGTCTGAGTGATGTGGTGGATGTCATGACCCAGTGCCTGGAGTCTGGATGGGGAGCAAGAGGCTTTGGCTCAACCCAAGCAAGACTGAGTGGCTTTGGGTGTTTGGATCTTCTGGTGCCAGGGATCTTCCATCTTTGGTTCTGGGTGGAGTGGCACTGACTCAGACAGACCTGCTCCTGGACTTACAGCTCCTGCTTGAAGAGCAGGAGGCAGCCATGGCTAGGAGGGCCTTTGCACACCTTTGGGTTGTGCAGCAATTGGACCTGTTCCTGGACCAGGAGGCCCTGCTCATGGTCACTCATGCCTTTGTGACCTCCCATCTGGACTACTACAACGCACTCTACATGGGGCTGCCCTTGAAGAGTATTTGGAAACTTCAACTGGTACAGGATATGGTGGCACAGGTAGTAAATGGAGCTGGTTATTTGGCACACCTCACACCACTACGTGTGCTGCACTGGCTGCAGGGTGTAATTCAATGTGGTGGTAGTCACCTTTAAAGCGAATAGAGGGAATAGAGGAAGGGGGGTGAAAACGGTGCTCTTGTCTCCCCTGCCACACACTTGGGAAAAAAGGGGAGAGGAGGCGGCTCCCCACACAATCCACCAAACAAAAGAAGGTAGTGACCCGGGAACT